GGTGTGAGGGTGGATGCGTGCGTGTGGGAATGGAGGGCTGGACGGAGGACCGAGTGCGTGGGGTGAGGCAGGGGGCCAGGGCCATCGGGCGCAGGCCGCAAGGAGCCTGCCAGAGACCGCTGTAACCACCCCGGCAGGCAGGGACGTCCTCTCTTCCCCCCAAGGACAAACCCTGGGCAGCATCCCCCTGTGTGGGGGGTCTCTATGGCTCATGCAACTCTGGGCCCCTGCTGAGAGACCAGAGCAAGGCGCAGGCTTGCGTGGGCAGAGACCTGCCAGCGGGTCTCACACAACTCCCCCGGCGCCGCCTCCAGACCACAGCAGCTTTCAGCAGTTGCTCGACTGTCCCCAGCCAGGCCCTGGGCCCCGAGACCTCCGCGGCGCTGCCTGGGATTGCCCCCACCCTGCTCCCTGCCCTCGCCGGCTTGCCCTGGGGTAGGAGCAGACGGATGTCACGGCGCTGCGAGGCAGGGGAACGGAGGGCTGTGCTGCAGCCGCCGTACCTGGACCTACCTGCGGCTGCTGGCTGCTGGCTCCCCCCAGCCTGGCCCCTGGAGAGGCGTCCGTGGGGTCTGAGGACCTCGGTGCATGGAGATCGGGGCCCGGATCGGTGTCGGGGAAGGGCGCAGGGCTGGAAACAGGGGCCCTAGAGGCAGCTGCTGGAGGGACCTTGCGGAGCTGGGCAGAGCCGTCGGGGGCTCGGGGATGCGGTCTGCGTCCCCAGGGCCTGCGTCCAGCTGCGGCTCCGGGGGCTCCGGGTGGCTCGAGGGGCCGTGCAGAGACCCGGCGTCAGAGCCCCCCTTGCAAAACCCCGTGCCCGCAGTAGGAGCCTCGAGGGAGGGATTGCCTTACGGGGAGGCTGAGCTTCGACACCTCCCGGGGGGCTCGGGCCCAGCTCCGAGCTGCGGGTCCTGCCTCATTACTGCCACTTAACTGCTGGGCTGATGGGGGGAGCACCATGTGGGGGGGGGGTTTGGTTCCCCAGACCCGGACTCTGGATCCTTCAGCCAGCTCCCTGCACCCATCCATACAAAGCCAGCTCATCCTAACCAGAGGGGCTGAACTGCAGGGGGCTGCCCCAGCTCCCCTCCGGCCTTGCGTGCCTCAGTTTCCCCACTGTAAAGGAAGCACCGATGCCTCCCCGGCAGGGTTGCCTGGGTGTGTGGGACCCCCCCTTGTGCCATCCTTCATTTCGGGGGGAGCTGGGCTCCGACACTTGGCAGCAATTAAGCCGCATCGATCGGTCTGCGGGATCTTTAATGAGCCCCCCCCCGCCGTGACCGCAGGCTTTAACCTTGGGGGATAATGGGGCGAGGGGCTGCGGTTCCTATCGACAGAGCCTGCTCCCCCTGGCCTTAATGAGCTAATCAATACTCGTTCTCGGCTTCATTTCCATCTAATTGCTCTTTAACGACGCCGGATAATGAGCAGCCTCCTGTGGGGGGGACCAGCTTGTCCCTACTCCTCACCCCCCAACTCTGGGATCATATGGGGGGGCAGGTGGATGGCTGCGGGCAGGGGTCTTTGCCTTGCCTTAATTAAGGGTCCTTCGTCTGCCCTGGCAGCTGCCAGGAGCCTGGATCTACCTGGGGTTTACCTGGCACCTGGGAGCAGGTGCAGCTGCTCAGGCTGGGCCTGGATTTGCCGAAAATCGGAGCCGGCTCCGGGACCTCTAGACCTGGGGCAGCGTGAAGGGAGGCTGCATGGGTGCCCTGAGCCCTGGAGCACCCCAGCTTGGCAGGGCATGGCCCCAGGGCAGCTTCCTCGAGGGCAAAGCAGGCTCTGAAGCTGCAGACCCCAGCCCCAGCCCTGAATCAGAAATGCTGGGCCCCTGCGGGACCCTGCTGCCCCATGGCTGGGGGCTTGGGGGTGCACCTGCGGGTCTGTCTGTGCAAAGGAGCACACGTCTCCCCGCGAGGAGGCAGCATCCTGCCCACACCTGCATGCGTGCATGCTCCCGCACTCATCCCTGGGGCAGCGTGACCGGGGGCAGAGGCCACTTAGCCTGGGCCTAGCGCTGCCAGCTGCGGGCTCCCATCCCCTCTCCTCCCTGCAGCTGGCTGGGTGCAGGAGCCCCATTGGTGGGCCCGGGAAGCCCACCCACGCATGTACGAGCATATGCACACACACACATGCATACATGTGCATATACACACATGCACATGCACACACAAGCCTACACATATACACATGCACGCACACACACATGCATACCCATACCCACACACGTACAAGCGCAGGGCTGGATTAACCCTTTAGTGGGCCCTAGGCAAAC